CTCACCCGCCGGCAGCTCCGGCGGGCTCTGGAAGCGGCGGCTTCACCGGTGCCACTGCACCGCGACGTGTCCCCACTGCCGGGGCAGAGCAGGTCCCGGCACTGCCACCCCCGCCGAGGTGGGGGGCTCTGCCCAGGCTGGGGTGGGGGGCCCTGCCCGCTCACCGTAACCCCCCTCTGGCCGCCCTCCCAGGGAAGTATGGCGAGTGTCCCCCGCCCAGAAGGATCCCCCTGGAGGCCTGCGACAACTTCTGCTCCTCCGATGATGACTGCCCGGGCAGCGAGCGCTGCTGCAGCACCGGCTGTGGACGAGAGTGCCAGCTCCCCACGGGAGGTGAGGGGGGGTCCCTTCCCCACAGCATCCCTGAATGAGCCCGTGCTCTACCCTCCAAGGGTGGGGGGACTGCAGCCCTGCCAGCCCCGACACCCTGTTCCTGGCACGGAGACAAGATGCATCGGATCTGGGGTCTTTCAAGCTCAGCCGCTGCCTCCGGGGTGCATCACCCACAAGGGCCGGCACGGGTGGCCCCTGCACCCACCCCCTGCTCTCAGCCCTCTGGTGTAGGGAGACAGGGGGACAGGGCATCCCCTGCCCAAGGATGTGGGGCACCCGGGGGTGGGCCAAACTGTGGGAGCGGGTAGGGGCTGGTGGGGCTCTGACCCTGCTGTCCACCCCCAGCAAAGCAGGGCTTCTGCCCACGGCCGAACCCTGACATGGTGACCATCTGCCTGGTGGCGTGCAGCAGAGACAGCGACTGCCAAGGCAACGAGAAGTGCTGCAACAGGGGCTGCCGCATCCACTGCACGTTGCCGGAGCCAGGTAAGGGCGGCCCGGGGAACTTGGTGGGAGGGGTGCCGCAGCCAGGACAGATCTCACCTGTGAGCTGGTCTCCTTTCCCACCCGCAGCCAAACCGGGCATCTGCCCCAAGAGAAAGGTGCTGCAGACCTTTGCCCCCTGCAAAAGCTCCTGCAAAGATGACTCCGACTGTCCCCGCCACAAGAAGTGCTGTTTCACGGGCTGTGGCCTCGGCTGCCTGCCTCCGGAGAGAGGTACCGCGGCCCTGCTCCTGTCCGCTGGCTGGGACCCCCAGCTGCTTCCAACGGCACCGTGTCCTTGGGTGACATCTGTCACCTCCCACCCGTGCCTGGCCCGTGCAGGGGACACTTCAGTCACTATGCCTACAACCCCGCCACGGGGACCTGCCAGCCGTTCACCTACAGCGGCTGCGGGGGGAACCCCAACAACTTCAAGACGGTGGAGGAGTGCCAGCAGGTCTGCCAGAAATAGGGTGAGAAAAAGGGCTGGACTTGGCCAGGTTGGGCTGGACTGGGCCAGACTGGGCTGCCCCTGCCCGGGCAGAGGTAGGGGCCAGGCAGGGGGTGGGTGTGCAGAGCTGCGCTGCCTGCAGATGGGCAGCCGGACCCGGAGGGTCTGCTGTACCTCCCCAAGGAGCGAGGGTGGACTCCCCGCGGCAAGGGACAGTGGCAGCATCCCACATCGCCCCGGCACACGGTGTGCCTGGGCCTCCGCACGCGGCACAGGGGCCTCTGGGTGTTCATTCTGGGTGTTTTCAACCAGCTCACGGCTCTGTCCTGGGAACTGGTGTCACCTTTGGTCAGAACTAGGAAATAGTGTTAGTGATCATAATTTCTCAGCCCGATTGTCGAAGGAGGAAACCTGAGCACTTGCCTGCCCTTGCACTTTGCCTTTCCACATCTCTGCTGAACACGTTTGGCACAGGGTGTGCATCTGGGAGAGATGGCGGCTGGCGGAGCCACGGTGACCCCCGCGGGGGGAGCGGGCGGATGGCACCCTGTGGGCACTGGCCTGATTGTGACACTCATTTCCGAGCGGAGCTGTGGGCAGTTGGGGCTGTTGGTGGTTGAGCAGTCGCTGTGGCTGCTCGGCTTCCCTGGCACAGCGGTTGTATCTCCATGCAACACCAGAACCATGATCGCTGCTCCCGGCTGTGCCACATCCTTGGGCGTGCGGGCAGGGGGACAGCGCCTGCCCAGGGCTGGGGGACAGATGCTGGGGGGGTGTGAAGGCACCGGGGGTGAGTGCAGCAGCCGGTCTGGGGCCAGCTCTGCTCCCCAGTGCCAGCACCCCACTGCCTCCCCCCCCGCCCTGCCTCCCCAGTGCCAGCACCCCTCTGCCTCCCCCCCGGCCCTGCCTGCACCCCCCTCCTCACCATCCCCTTTTGTCCCCCAGGGAGAGACAAGGAGTGACCCCCAAGAAGGAGGCAGCAGCGGGGCTGGAGCCCCTCTGAAAAAGGGTCTGCGGCGGTGCTGGCCGCTACGCTCTGCCCCACGCAATAAAGCCGCCAGAACGCCTGGCTTGCAGCAGCCCAGTCTCCGCTGTCTCGCCTGACCCGCGTCTGCACGGTGCCAGCAGCTCCACGTGCTGCCCTGCGCCTTCCTGCTTCCCTTCCTGCACTGGAGCTGCGAGCCCAGACCCTGGCTGAGCCCAAGGACCCCTTGCCCGGCACGCAGGGTGTGGGGCTAGCTCGTGGTGGCAGGTGGCTCCAACCAGCCCCTCGCTCCTGGCTCTCAGCCCAGCCCAGCAAGCAGCTGGTGTGGGGCAGTGGCACGGCTGCACAGAGCTGGGCAGCACCGACCCTGGTGTGAAATGTCCCTCCTGGACATGTCCCCTTCCCTGGTCCGCAGTGGACCTGTGGGGACGGCCCCGTGGTGCTGCCCTGGCGCAGTGCCCGCATCTACTCGCTCCCAGCTCGGTCCCTGGGGAGAGCATGGCTGGGGGACGCAGGTGACACTGCTGTGCCATGGGTGGGACAGCCCTGCAAGCCAGAGACTGCAGGTCTTCCCCCAAAACACCTCCTGTCAGCGCTCATACTGTCTTATTAATTTGCTAATTAATAACAGCCCAGAGAGGAGAGCGGGCTCTGGATGAGTGCGCTGCCTGCAGATGTTGGGGACATTCCCAGGAAAGCTGAGTGAGGGCACAGAGTGTCCCGGTGTGCTCCAGGACAGCGGCACCTCCACAGCCATCACGCAGCGGGGACCCTCGGGCTGTGCTCTGGGGGTGGACAGAGCAGGAGGGTTGGACTGGGTCCTCTGCGTTTGGTGCGGCAGCCGCCGGGCACGGGGGCGATGAATCATGGAGCAGCCGCAGGAGAGCCCTCGCTCCAGGCCTCGCTCTGGACATCCCCAGGGGGCGG